AGCTCTGTTTAGTACAACCAGAGGCTCTGGTCGAGGAACCAGAAGCTTTGGAAGAGAGACCAGAGGGGCCCTGGTCGAGAAACCAGAAGCTCTAAAAGAGAGACCAAAGGGGTTCTAGTCCTAGTTATTGAAATATATTCCACATGTGCTTTGAAACAAGAGCGATGGACCAAAACAGAATATGATTTTATTCCACATGTTGTGAAATGATTATTTGATAAATGTTTTGGTGATCTTCACCCTGCATTACATAAAAGGGAACCTCACTAGACATTCATGTCTAACCCTCATTTCGTGTTTTCAAAATATGTGTGTAGGTAATGATAATAAGGGAAAGAGCATTATGTGAATTACTTCCCTATGTGCTTAGCTGTTTTGGAAGCATAGATGCTAGGATGCAAGAACATGTACTTTTGAAATTTTGGGTTGCATATTTTACATTATAGACTCTTGTATCAAGGACCTATGTGGGGGAAAACATGTATTCTATATATGAAATATGTGTTATATGCAATGTATGGATTTGGGGGTGTTACAGAGTTGGTATCAGAGACTGAGTTTAAGGGATTTAGGTATTCACATGCATGATCCCTAGACTTAAACTATTTCATTGCATATTAGGGTCCTAGACATAGTTAGAACCTTTGGAATAAATATAATAAGTTAAGAGATCAGTGTGTAAGGTATTTTCGGATTATATCTGGCCAATGTAATTTTTGAATCTACAAGTACATAACTGAACTTGGACACTTTATTATATTTGGGAATGTGAAAAATGTGGTGTTTTAACTTTGTTATCTACAGATGGCTAGTAGATCAAGAAGGTCAGAAAGGATAACCCACCCCAATGAAGAAGAATCCTCTGTTGCTCCTATTGGCACCTCTGAGGGCAGAAGCAGAGGCAGAGGTAGAGACAGAGGTGGTGGCAGACCAGAGGCAGAATAAGCCAACCCGAAATTAATATGAACCAAGAAAAATCAAACTCTGAAAATATGAATCAAGAACGGATGTCTCACCTAGAATATGTAACAAGAGACATATTAGCTGAAAAAATGGGAAAACTAAGGGAAACCTTGACTTCTATTTTGAGGAATCTTGCCAGAATAGAGACATGCAGAATTGAAGTTACTTCATCAATTCCAATTATCAATAACAGGGAAGGAGACATAAAGATGTTTCTAACTTGTAAACCACCAACCTTCTCAGGAGAAAGAGATCCAATTAAAGCTATGTGTTGGGTCAAAGAGATGGAGTCTGTATTCAATACCATCCGATATGCAGATACAGATAAAGTCAGATTTGCAGTCTCTGTGTTGAAATCCTTAGCCAGAACAGATATTTTGCAAACTATGACATGGCTAGAGTTTGTCAACAGATTCAAGGAGCAATTTTGCCCAAAAGCTGACATTAGACAAATGGAAGAAGACTTTCTAAAATTGGAACAAGGAAACAGAACTGTAAG